TATTTTCATGTCTTTGGATGTAAAGTTTTCATTCATAATAATGGAAAAGATAACTTGGGAAAATTTGATGCTAAGTCGGATGAAGGAATTTTCTTAGGTTATTCTCTTCGTAGTAAGGCATATAGAGTGTTCAACAAGCGTACTAAGACCGTAGAGGAGTCTATTCATGTTATCTTTGATGAATTTGATGCTCGCTTGGCGAGAAAAGGTATTGTTGATAATGTTGCAGGTTCTTATGATGAAGAAGAAGAAATCGTTAAGAAAAAGGAACCGGAAGAAGAGAAAACGCAGGAACAAACGGAGCTTCCTAAGGAATGGAGAACATTGAAGAACCACCCGATTGACAATGTCATTGGTGATATAGCGCAGGGGGTTTCTACTCGTAATTCTCTTAGGAACACAATTAATCACATGGCCTTTGTTTCAAAAATTGAACCAACAACCGTTTTAGATGCTATTAATGATGAACATTGGTCTATGGCAATGCAAGAGGAGCTTAACCAATTTAAACACAATGATATTTGGGAATTGGTGCCTAGACCTAATGATCATTCCATTATTGGCACAAAATGGGTGTTTCGTAACAAACTCGATGAAAATGGTATAATCACTAGAAACAAAGCTAGGCTTGTAGCTAAAGGCTACAATCAAGAAAAAGGCATTGATTATGAAGAAACTTATGCACCGGTTGCACGTTTAGAAGCTATTCGTTTATTGCTTGCATTTGCATCTACAATGGATTTTAAACTTTATCAAAGGGATGTTAAAAGTGCCTTCCTTAATGGTATCATTCAAGAGGAAGTGTATGTCGAACAACCCCCGGGTTTCGAAGACTATGAGTTTCCCGAACATGTCTTCAAACTCAAAAAGGCGCTTCACGGTCTCAAACAAGCACCTCGTGCTTGGTATGAACGGTAAAGCAAATTTATTTTGGACCATGAGTTCAAACGGGGTCAAGTCGACACTACTCTTTTTATCAAGAAAGATAACCAAGACATCCTTTTGGTTCAAGTTTACGTAGATAAAATCATATTCGGTGCTACTAACGAGGCTTTGTGCAAGGATTTTTCCAATATGATGCAAAGTGAATTTGAAATGTCAATGATGGGAGAATTAAAGTTCTTCCTTGGGCTGCAAATTAGACAATGCAAAGAAGGAACATTCGTGTGTCAAACAAAATATTGTAGGGAATTGCTTAAAAGGTTCGATGTTACCGAATCCAAATCCATTGACACACCAATGAGAACCTCTTGCTATCTCGACAAGGACGAAAAAGGTAAAGATGTTGACATCAAGCGCTACCGAGGTATGATCAGCTCTTTACTTTATCTTACCGCGAGTAGATCGGATATCATGTACTCCGTTTGTATATGCGCTAGGTATCAATCATGTCCTAAAGAGTCGCACTTAGTTGCGATCAAAAGGATAATGCGATATCTCGCGGGCACGTTGAATGTAGGTCTTTGGTATCCCAAAGGTTCAACATGTCATCTTGTTGGCTATTCCGACTCGGATTTTGCAGGTTGCAAACTCGATAGGAAAAGTACCAGCGGTACTTGCCACTTATTCGGTCATTCGCTAATCTCGTGGTTTAGTAAGAAGCAGGTTAGTGTTGCACTTTCCACCACCGAAGCGGAATATGTCGCTGCGGGAAGTTGTTGTGCCCAAATTCTTTGG